CGCCCAGCCCTCCCTCACCCCCTGTGGCTGCCTCCCTTTCCGTCTGTTGAGAGAGGAAGCCAGGGGGTGGCGGGTGCAACCCTGTGGGGCACTGATAAAGGGCCAGCGCTATCCCCGCCCTCTGGGGCCACTGCGGTCACACCAGTAGGCAACAGGCGAGGCCGCCAGCTCCCTCTGGGACCCGTGGCCCTCCCCTGGTTCCACCTCTACCCACCCCGCCCTTGTCATCTCCGGAAGCTGGTTGCATAACCCACTGGGGTGTTTGGCAACATTGCTGTGGCTTGACCTGGTGCTGCTGGTGGTGTGCACACAAGTTGTGGGGGTGCGGGTGGGGGTGGCTTGGCCAGGAGTGACAAGGGAGACTTCAGGGAGTGGGAGGGCAGCACAGGTCGAGAGTGAGCAGAGAGTAAAGCTTCATGGCCACATTTTTCTGTTTCTTTCTGCCTTGGCTACCTTTGTTGAAGTGGGAGAATTTGTGGGATAAGAAAACCATAGGTGTCACTGGTTTGCCAAGCCACAGGCACTACTCAGCCCACTCAGGGTGCAACTCAGCTAATGCTCCAAATGCTGTAGATCAAGCGAAGGAGACTAGGTAGGAGGGGATCAACTCTGGGCTTTGGGGGACTGAGGGCTGGAAGGAGTGTTTGGTAGACAAGACACATGCTGGGAACCAGCAAAGACCTCTTCCTACAGGAGGCGTGTGAGGCGAGGGGGAGACACCTCAGCTAGCCAGTTGTCTACATGAAGGCTGTCTGCTCACTTAGCTCACCCTGTATGACCATATCTGTCCCCACATATAGGTACTAAGGGACTCCGAGCACTATGAATCCCATTGCTTACCAGACAGAATACATTTTCCCTTTTGATTTTCAAGACATTTTACAGTTCTACCCCAGTTAATTTTCTAGGCTTAGCCAGGTGTGGTGGCCAATACCTGTAATCCCAGCCCTCTGGGAAGCTGAGGCAGGAGGATCACAAATTCAGGCCCACCCTAGGCAATTCGGCAATTTAGTGAGACACTGTCTCAACATAAATGAAAAGGGCTAGTGATGTACTCAGTGTGAAGGTCGTGGGTTCAATCCCTCATACTGAGCAAACCAGGCTTATATTTTTTTTCTTTTTTTCTTTCGTGTGCTGAGGATGGAATGGAGGGCTGCACACACACTAGGCAAATGCTCTCCTCCTAAGCTATGTACAGCCCAGCCCCTAATGCTTTTCTTCTACTTCTAATCACCCCATTCCAACCTCTATTAAACCCACCGTTTGCTCAAAATACTCTTCCCCTTCTCTTTTGCCATAGCCCAACTCAACTGTCACCTTCTCTGTGATCACTTCTCTGAATTTCACCAGGTAGAATTTATTTCCTCTTCTGCTCCACAGCACTTCACGTAGACCTTAGGGTAATTCCCAGGCTACCCAGTGGGTGAGGACATGAACCATGCCTTATTCACCTTCGCATTTCTGGACTGTAAGACATAGTAGACACTCAGTGACTTTTTGGATGAATGAATGAGAAGGCTTGTGTTATCTATAGTTGTATCTGCCACACCATACAGCATCCTGAACTGGTGTTCTCATTCAATAAATGTTTGTGAATTATCTGTAACCTGACATCATTATATAATCAGCCACAAGTGTGACTCACCACTGTTCAACCCCTCTGAGGGGCCCAAATGAGTATGCAAGTGAGAGAACTGTATCTGAAGGTTCATGTGTGTGACACAGATTCACGACCAGGTCTTAAGAGACTCTGAGCCTACATGTAACACACAGTGAAGTCGTTGGATCACTTTCTGTCCTACATAAATCATGAATGTACAATCCTGATCTCCTGGGATAGAGTTGGAATTCCAAGCATTTACCCATGAGTTTGGCATGGGCATTGATTAATCCCAGCACAAGTAAGCCTACAGAGGAGTCTCCTTGTGATATCAAAACAGCCTTTTCATGGGCCTGGTCGTATTGTAGGATTTGGGGGGTTGCAGGGGAGAAGTGGGGGTAGCCAAGGTAGTGGTGATGTGATGAAGAAACACCTGGAGGGCTCACGGCCACTGCTGTTTATCAACCAGGACAGAATATTTTAACTATGAACATAATCGCATCAGAACACACTGGCTAAAGGCCAGCCCTACCCTGGGGTGGCACCTATTTCCCCAGGTTTTTTTTTTTTTTTTTTTTTTTGCTTTTTGAGACAGAGTCTAGCTATGTAGTTCAAGCTGGCCATGAGCTCACTATGTGGTCCAGGCTGGCCTTAAACTCATGATGATACGAGTGCTGGGATTAGAGGTGCCACCATGACTGGCTTCTCCAGTCTCTAGATGCTTCCAATGTAACATGAACCTCATGAGAAGAAAAGTAGAAAGGTTGAAGGTAGACATGTGAAGGACTTTTTAAAGAGATGATTGTGAAGGACATTTTTTTTTTAGTGCTGAAAGCTACTAAAAACTGGGAGGAAGGAAAGAAAGAAGATGCTTTCCTCATAGCCTCTAGAGTGATCTTTGGTCTGAGTTTGGGTCCTCTCACTCTGAGGAAAACTGATGAGTGAGATGCTTCTGGGTAAGCACTAGCCTGATACAGAGTGCTGTGGACAGCTAACCCGAGTTCCACACATGCGTCTGGCTTGTCCAGGGTACACGACTGCCACGTGGCTGGGCTGCTTTGACTAGAAGAAAGGAGGACACCCAGCGTTCCTTTTAAGGGAGGTGAATAATCTCCCTCCTGGGCACCCACTCACCCAATTCCTCTCACACACGAACAACGGGGGGGGGGGGAACACCTGGCCAAGAAAGAAACCTTTGTCTTAAAACATCAGAAGTTGAGGGGGAGGGGACAGGGCTACAGGTGAAAGGACGCGTCAAAGCAGTGCAGCTCCTCCTCCCCAAAACAGCTCCTTCAGCCTGTTCCCAGGACCAGGCGCGTCCTGGATGCGCACCTGCCTGGACACCTGGGAAGCCACACACCAGGTCCTTAACTTCCTGTCTGCCACCCTGCTAATGACTCAGTTTCCCTGTCTCTAAGAGAGCCACAGGAGCGGGGAAGGAGGCTACAAGTTGTATAAAGTCTAGAGGTCACTCTGGAGGGGACCATTGGGTTGGAATTCATCCTGTGCACGGGAGACTCGCAGAGCCGGCTGGACTCCGGGCTGAGAGCGCTGGGAGCGGCCTGGAGCCCTGTGTGCCCCGGCTGGCCTGGAGTGAGGCGGGGGCGGGGTGCGGGCAGAAACCACACCGGGCTCAAGTTTCCTCTCTTGGCCAGAAGGGGCAGGAGGAGGAGGGCCACAGGGAAAGGGGAGGGTAGCAGGAAGAACTGAGAACTGAGGCCGAGGGCTCAGAGCGACAGCCGGTGCGCCTGCTTGGAGCTCCTGCGCTCAGCTGGAGCGGAGCGGCCAGGCTCGGCTCCCAGCGATGGTCCGGGGGCGGGGCTCGGCCCGCGCGGCTTCTCAGAGGTAGCAGGATCTCCGGCCCG